AATGCGCAAGCGTGCTTGAATGTTCACCGCATGCGCACAAAGCAGCTGGAGAGAGAGGCTACTATATTGTCTGCACCGTAACGGTGAGCTTCAGGTCGGCACCGTACTAGCAATATAGGAGTATTACATATATGGAGAAGCCTGAGAGCGGCCATGCCATTGTAGTTTTTTACGACGGTTTCAGCCGCTGATTTTAGCCGTATTTTCTTTCCACAAAAGTGGAACTCAAAGGCCGTTCTACATTAAACGCAAGTAGCAGATCTCGTGGAATTGACCAATTGCAGAGTCAAATCAGCCAATCGACCAACGTGATTGATCAGTTCCACGAGACTTGCGACTTTAGTTTCATGGAGAACGGCCTTTGAGTTCCACTTTTGTGGAAATACGGCTAAAACCAGCGTCTGAAACCGTCGTAAAAAATTACAATAGGATGGCCGCTCTTAGGGCGATGTCCCATTGAGCGGAAATATATAGCGGAACGGAATGTGCGGAACCAGCTCGACCAATCATAGCCATTCCGTTTTCTTTCCTTCGCTTTTTCTATGGTTACGATTGGTCGAGCTGGTTCCGCACATTCCGTTCCGCTATAGATTTCCGCTCAATGGGACATCGCCCTTAGGTTTCTCTCTGGTAGTTGCCATCTTTTGCAACTATTTTAGAATAGAGCTTTTTACCACTCTAAGCGCACGTACGTGTGGACACGCCCTAAATCCGAAGAGAAACGAATGGGATGTTCCATGTGCGTTGGTGTGTTCATTTTGATGGATTGCCATTTATGGTGATCTCGAGCGACGAGAGAAGCGTCAACTAAACAATATTTGTGATGCTGTAAAATTAATCATCGAAAAGATAGATCGGCGGAAGGAAAAACGCATCGTCTCGCGCGTAACGATGTAAGCGTATCGCTGTGACCGTCCTGTGACCGTGCAGTTTGTCAATCGCGCCCGCACACTCATCGCTCAATGTTCAATTTAATCCGCGTGATATAGTATACGCGGAACGAGTGTGTGATGCAGCTCGGCAAATATAATGATGACGGCATCGTCGCGTGTGAATAAGCGGAGATGCGAAACACTCGCACGGCTGCAAGCTGCAATTCCGGATTTCGTGTGTCTGAATTATTCTTCTGGTCTTTTTTTGTTTTTGCAAAATGACGTCGAAACCGTATGTAATTCGAGACGCGCCACATTGTTTGCTGTCAAATTTTTTTCACCTACATTCTATTCTCGCTTTCATTAATATTAGATTCGCCTTGACGGTCTCGTCAGTTTTACTTGTGAAATTTTCAATTTAAAACATTTAAAATCTCGAAGTTTTACTCTTTCACGGAAACAATATTTCTCCGATTTTGTTTTTCTAAATACAAAGAATTTAATTAAGCGCACTTTTTCAGGATGTTTGGCAGCTCAAAATGGCTCGTTGTATTAGGAGTGTTTGTGGCAAGCATATTGGCTTCCCTTGCTCAGGAATATTATCCTCCACCAGAGAGATTAACAGGCATGAATCCTTGTATAAGTAAACAAACATGCCACGAGTGTATACAGACCCCCCATTGCGCTTGGTGTGCAGCACCAGTAAGTACGATTTGGTCAGTAAGATGTAATTTGACTTTTCACAAACAGGCACAGGTTTCCCTGAGGTTCACTCAAAAACTGCACATCAACATTTTTAATAAAAATCTAGTTTTTTTTCAAACGCTTATATCTTTGTAATTACTCGATTTTTCAATTTGCTTCTTTTTTCATGGATGCAGAATTGTTCAAACTTTTGAGTAAAAAAAAAAACAAAAAACAAAATTGACAAAATATTGACTTTTCATGGAGATATTTGATTTTAAAGTTGCATTGGGTCACTCATAGTCATTCAGTCAGTGCTCAGAAAAACTTCTGGTTTTATACTTGATTTTTACTTAATAAATTCTCTAAACCAATTTCGATCTTGCAGAAATTCTCAGAGAAAAGATGCTTCCTTCCGAATATCAACACCAAAATATTCGCAACATGTCCTTCTGAATACACATGGAATCCAGACAATGTATACAGCATGGTACAACATCGCAATTTGACGAAAGGTGGTTACGCTGCTGGTGGAGGAGGAGGAGGAGGAGGATACATAGAGACTTCGTACTCCAACTTTTCATCTTCCAGTTCATCTTCCTCATATTCACACAGTTTAAGCAGCAGTGGTGGTAGAAGGCAGGAAGCTGTGCAGATGTGGCCGCAGGAAGTCAATTTAAAGCTTAGAATAAGTAAATCACTGACGTGTAAAACAAAAAAAAACTAAAATCACATATTTTATTGATTGATGTATAAAATTTGTTGTTTGTTTTCCAGACGAAGCTTACAGAATGTCCTTTGCTTATTCTCAAGCCGAGGATTATCCTGTCGACCTTTATTATCTTATGGATCTAAGTAAGTCCATGGAGGATGACAAGCAGAAGTTGTCGGATTTGGGCCAATTGCTGGTCGAGAGTATGAGCAAGATAACCAGTAATTTCCGTTTGGGTTTTGGTAGTTTCGTTGATAAGGTCGTCATGCCATACGTCAATACAGTGCCAAAATCGTGAGTTTTCGAGACAAAAGCCAAGGAATTTTATAAATTTCGTCATTGCCAATTGAGTCAACGCGTTCAACTTGCTTCTGATTTCAGTCTTCGCGAACCATGCGACGGTTGCGCAGCTCCTTACGGATACAAGAACATTATGCGGCTCTCTCAAGACACGAGCAAATTTGCGGTATAAAAATATGTGTATTTGTTGAAAAAAAAACTAATTCAAAACATAAAAAAGCAAACTGAATTAATTTTATAGATCGCGAGTTAAAAGTCTTAATTCGTTATCTCAAGCGATTTGTTTTTAAGAACGAATGTTCTTTCCCACAGGGATTGGTGAAAAACGCGTCGGTATCTGGCAACTTAGATGCCCCGGAAGGCGGTTTTGACGCGATTATGCAGGCGATAGTCTGCCGAAATCAGATAGGATGGCGCGAAAAGGCACGCCGGCTGCTCGTATTCTCGACAGATGCTGGTTTTCACTACGCCGGCGACGGCAAGCTTGGCGGCATCATCAAGCCGAACGACGGCCTGTGTCATCTTGACACCACTGGCCTGTACACTCACTCATCGCTGCAGGATTATCCCAGTATCTCGCAAATCAATCTCAAAGTGAAGCAAAACGCAATCAATATAATTTGGGCAGTCACCGAGGAACAAATCAACGTTTATAAGCGACTGACAAAACACGTAGAAGGTTCGTTTGCTGGCAAGCTGTCGGATGATTCAAGTAATGTTGTGGAGCTGATACGCGAGCAATATGACGCGATCTCGAGCTCTGTAGAGATGAAGGATACCGCCAGCAGCGCAATCAAAGTTAAGTACTTTTCGAGCTGTCTGGGTACAGGACCGGCGGTCGAAACATCGAAGTGCGACGGATTGAAAGTCGGAACAAAGGTGGAGTTTATCGCAGAAATCGAGGTCACCAGCTGTCCTGCCAATAAGTCGGAGTGGAAGCAGAAATTCGATATTTATCCGGTAATCGCTTGTTAAACTCTAGGTTTCCACGTTCAAAATTACTTTTTTCTTCTTATATCTTCAAAAATTTTATTGTTTTTATACTTTCTGGATCTCGTATATATATATATACAGAAGTTGTGATGTTCTTGCATTTTTTTTCCAGGTCGGCATCAACGAAACTCTCACAGTAAATCTCGAAATGCTTTGCGACTGCGAGTGCGAGCGCGAAGGTTCTATGTATGAAGAGAAATCGCCCGAGTGCAACGGCGTCGGTACTCTCAAATGCGGCGTGTGCGAGTGTTACGATGGTTTCTTTGGCAAGCGATGCGAGTGCAGTCCGCATGAAGAGCTCGCTGGTTTTGATAAGCATTTCCAGTTGTGTCGACCGGACAATACCTCTCTCGTAGACTGCTCCGGTCGTGGCACATGCGCTTGCGGACAGTGCGAGTGTGAGGAACGCGAAAATCCGGACGAAGTATTCTCATTTTCCGATTGTTATATATATACATTGTTGTATGTATATATATATATATATATACAGGATGTCCTGTAATTGCCGTCTCACCGCTCGTAGGCAGGTAGAAATGGAGTTATTCTAAGACAAAAAGTCCTATACTACTTTGGAAGATTCGCAATAATTAACGAAATATTAATTAATAAAGATCAGCTAATCAGCGTAAGGACAGCCCAGTCTGTCGCGCCGTAGCGACGGAATGGGAGAAGTTTAATAGAATAACATGTGCGTACATAAACAGCATATAGGCTGCGTTTGGGCAGCGCGCTATCCGCGCTATTGTATTCCGTCGCTACGGCGCGACAGACTGGGCTGTCTTTACGCTGGATGCACGCTGATTAGCGGATCTTTGTTAATTAATATTTCGTTAATTATTGCGAATCTTGCAAAGTGGTATAGAACTTTTCGTCTTAGAATAACCCGTTCTATCTACCTACGAGCGGTTAGACGGCAATTATGGGACACCCTCTATATACATATATATATTTTTTTTTTACTTAAAGTGATGCTTATAAGTGTACAATTGGAAATATATGTAATTGGAATAAATATAAGTGATACATTTTTTTTAGGTAATATCCGGACACTTTTGCGAGTGTGACAACTTCTCTTGCGATCGCGATCAGGGCAAGCTATGCTCGGATCATGGTACCTGTGAGTGCGGACAATGTGTCTGCAATGCCGGTTGGACCGGACCGTCCTGCAACTGCAGATCTTCCAACGATTCTTGCATCGCACCGGGAACCACAAACGGCGTTCTTTGTTCAGGCCATGTAATCACGTTTATTTATAAATCTTTATTTATGATTTGTTTTCTTCTGAAACATTTTTAAATTTAATGATTATGTAGTTTTTAATTATACAATTAAAAGATTCTTTTTCACAAAGGGTGATTGCATTTGCGGAGAATGTATCTGTCACGAGGAAGGAAGCATCCGATATTCCGGCAAGCATTGCAATAAGTGTCCGACATGCCCAAGCCGCTGCGAAGAACTTAAACCATGCGTGCAGTGTCAGATGTACGGCACCGGAAACTACAGCGAACCCGAAGAATGTGCGAAAAATTGCAAGGAGTTTGTGCCCGAGGGCGTTGAGACGGTGATTGTCGACGTGGACAACGACGAGGTTCCGTGCTTCGGTACGGACGAGGACGACTGCAAGTACAACTTTGTCTATTATTACAACGAGACCAACTGTCTGCAAGTTCGCGCGCAGAACGAGCGTGAATGTCCGCCGCAAGTCTATATGCTTGGAATCGTACTGGGAGTCATCGCGGCGGTGGTCTTGGTCGGATTGGCACTGCTGTTCCTGTGGAAACTATATACGACGATACACGATCGACGCGAGTTTGCCCTATTCGAAAAGGAGAGAATGATGGCCAAGTGGGATACGGTACGGGGTTCTTTATAAGTCAACATTAGATGGGAGTTTTTATTTTCTAAGAGTTTTTTTATTTAGAAAATTAAGAATACACACATCAGTATTACATAATAGCTTTTAAATTTACGTTGCTTTGTTTTTATTATTTTTCACAGGGCGAAAATCCGATATACAAGCAAGCGACCTCCACGTTTAAGAATCCAACTTACGCCGGAAAATAAAAGTTATCCAACTAGCGGGAAGGTAATGCAAAACGTCTCAAAGAAAAAATCGCATCATCGCGCTGCGATTTACAAATGGATTCGCGCGCAATTTGCGTAAATTGTAAATGTTTTAACCGCGTCTCAAGATGGTGTCTCGAAAGTGTCTTCTTTTGCGAAAGCAAAAAATTTACAGAAATTAGATCTAACGTTTTTTTAGCGTGCTTGATTATTTAAAGGGACTAATATTTAAAAATTACATTATTTACTATTCTTTGTTGAGATATTTGTCGAGAAGGACGACTTAAGGAAACTACTGCCATATATAACAGACTGCATTACGTCGCGACGCGTGCTACTCGTTTAAAACGACTTTGTAAAGTTGTAGCATTAAACTCTTAATCTGCGATCACTCAAGAGTTAACTACGTAGACTATTTTTGATATTCAAGTGCCTTTACTATCGTGACGACAGTGTGTGTTTTCGTATTAACTTTTAGTTACCCCCTTGCATTTTTTCACGATACACATATAAAGATACATGCGAAGAGACGCACTTTGTTTTTTGTTTTGTTAAAATTGAAAATGTCTCAATTTTACATATTTCACGAACATATGCAATATTTTTTGTATAAAAGTACACTTCGAAACCAAATTTGATACATATATGCATTTATTCGCAAATTTATATATGATTGTTTTAATCGTTAGAGTTTTATCTCTTTCTCGCACTAACCAAGGCGATTGCGAAAGTATTTATTAGGAAATTTATATAGAAGTATATAAAACTGAATCACTATTTAGATTCACGAGTAGAAGCAAGTTTACATTGTTATAATCTTACGATGCAAGAAAAACAGTTAGTAGAAAGTAAAATCTAATTGGAAGTGCAAATCTATGAAAAAACTTGGATAAAAAGATTTATACATTAAATTACAAGCGTGTGTCGACGTTCATACTGAAAATAACTAATACCTTTATGCGCGCGATTCGTATGCAAATTTTACAGGAATATCGAATGAGGTCAACAAGTCAAGTCCGAGTTTTGAACGCGCTGCGCAACTATTCTTATAGTCATTTGTTATTTGCGTGGTCAAATTTTTTTTTTTTTTTTTTTGAATAATAAAAGCACTATTTAATAGTGATTTATTACTCGAAATAAGTTTTGGTCGTGCCAGTAATAAATTTCTGAAAGGATATTTCGTTTTTTCAACACATGATAAAAATTCTTATTTGTATCAGAAATGTAATTTTTGAAGTTAAAAATATCACGACATTTTGTAAAATTTTTACGTTCATTCTGTGTGCTCTTCACGAGAGGAGTTTGCTCTGCAAATTCGAACTCGCGTTATAAACGTTATAACTAAACGATAACTGCACGAGTATGACTCGTAAATATAGAAACGTCTATATCACATATAGCTAGTTGTAATCGGTTATATATAATATTTTTAACGTATAGAAGAGAAAAAGAAGGCAAATAACTTTTAAAGTGTTCTCACACATGTTCTCATCGCGTTGTCGGGGAAGAATCTGTCCTCGAATTTATCAGAAACGAGAGAGTTCAAGAATATTGCACGCAAAGCTTTTGTAGCAACAAAACAAACTTGCGTTTGTCCCGTGTGTGCGTGAATATTATTTTAACATTCTCTTGTTTCATGAATCTCACGAAAAGTATTGATTCCGAAAGACTGCGCGCGACGGTCAGATTTTTCCTCGTCATTGCCACGACGAAAATCGGAGAACTAATAATAGCGCGGTATAATACAAACTCGAACTTATCCACCGTTGTGGATAAGCATCGTTATTTTCATTTTCGTCATTGTGTCGTTTAGACGTAAATTGTTTTTATTCTTTTCGATAATTTTACAGTAACTCAATTTTAACCGCTAAACGGTTCTCGCGACATTTTTTTTTTTTTTTATCGCGTTTCGTATTTTTTAATACAAGTTTGACTGTAATTAATTATTGACGTTACTATTTTGTATGCAATTTCTTGCAAACTCAATAGATTTTATATATGAATGTTCTATGAGTGCGAGGAATAAAAACGATGTGTTAGTAAGTGCTATTGTTTCGTTATTTTTTAAGATTCATCCCGAGAGGAGTAAATCCTAGTGTTTGTAAATATGCAGAAATATCCGAAGGAGAAAAAAAAAGCACAATAAAACACTTGACGATTCACATATTGCAAACAAAAGTAACTACATATTTATTATTGACGAACATAGACCACACTATTTGCAAGTATTTCTTGTATGTGGATGTGTCAATGTTAACACATGTATTTTCTTTATTTTTTTTCTCAAAATTACTGTTTTGAAATAATCGGAATTTCAATTCAATAGTAATTTCGTTTCATCTCGATTTAATTAAAATTCCTTTATTTAATGTTATATAATATAAACTTAATGTCAAATTTTATAAGTTTTTAATCATGTTCAATATTTTTTTATCGCACATGAAGGCCAGATTCTGTGCAAACAGGAACGTGACAAGTGTTTTCAATAACATTAATTTACATATATCTGGAACGACGTGTTTTTTAGTTATTTATAGTAGTCGAACACATTTAGGAGAGACTCGGCACTCTATCATATATGCAGATGTATGTATATAAACCCCAATATTCAGCAATCACGCTGAGAGCCTCATTTGTTTATTCTTCTTATTTGAAGTATAAAAACTATAATCTTACAATTTGATATTTGATGCTTTTGTAATTTGTTATAAAAATTTCTGAAAATTATTTTTCGATTCGAACCGCGTGATATTTTTTAACCGCGCGTCATTTTTATACCAACCATTTTGTAGATATCTCTATTTATTTCATCAGAAACAGTTTCAAGAACAAATTGATGATCTTATGATTTTCTATTTTTAATACATTGCTTTGGAGCCTCTGTTTTACATATTTATACTTTTAATAAGTTTTTTAGAAGTAGCATATCACACATTCTTTGTGTTTCTTTTATTATTCTTTATTCTTTAAATGGCAATTCATAACATTTTCATCTGTAGTGTCGGAAAATCTTTTTATTGATCTTATAGTCATTATAAAAACAACTTTAGACTCAAATAACAGGAAAAAAATTTTGTTTTTTTTTTTTTTTTTTGAATATTAAATAAAAGTAGAAGTAAAATATAATGATCTCGCATATATATTTTGCTATTTTTAGATCTCTGAAAAATATTAGAAGTGTTATGTTTTCGATTATTTTCTTATAGATATGTGTGTTTGCTTAGATTTTTTATATATAAACATATAAATATCTATTAACATATTGACATGTATACATGTATCAACAGACAAGCCGTTTATGTTGAAAAATATTTCAACATAACGACAAAATATTTGATATCTTCTTAAAAATGATCGTTGCATATTTATTTACAAGAAATAAAAAATATAATCTATATGTATTGTGTAAGCAACACACACACGTGTAACTAACAACAAAATAATTACATACAGGCTTTTGAGCATTTGTCTTTACGCGTAAAATTGCGCCAATAATGTCTCAACAATGAAAAGTGCAATTTCATATGTATAAAGACATTAATGCTCCTGCTTGTACAAAAAAAACACATTTGTTATGACTCATGATTAATGACTCTGAAGACACCTATAATGCAAATACTCAAAAGAAAATATTGAAAGATAAGGTTAGTTTAAACTCTTTCTACGGTTTTAACCTTAGAATTTCATAGAAAGTTCGAAAGACACGTAAATCACCTGAGATCATCAACCATTTCAAGAGCAAAGGAATTTTTATAAAAGATAGTGCAAAACATACCTGCTTTTATTCCCTTTGTTTAAAAAAAAAAAATTAATCTTCAATATTCATGTCGCCGATTCTTGTTCGTTCATTCACTACATCTTTCAAAAATCACGTGAAAAAAAAACGAAAAGCTCACTTGTATATTTAGGTACACGAGGAAATAACGTTCATGTTTGAGAATAACCCGTTCTTTTCTCGACTTTCATTTTACATTTGCAAGTCATTTCACACACAAAGGCTTGTACAAAATTTTTTCTGTACAACTTTTTCACTGTATGAAACACTGGTCATATCCTTCTGTGTTTACGCGCAAATAAATTATAAAAACTGCGAATTAAATAAAACGCATCTCTTGTATATTTTCCTGTAAACACGATAGATCGCGGTGCGGGACGTGCAACCGCGGTCTCGCGTGCGCGTTGCAGCTGTCACGTGTGTGTGATCGCACACGAAGGAGAGAAAGAGAGGAGGGGAGAAAGAGAGAAAGAAAGAGAAGGGATTGAAGAGGTGGGACTAGATGAGAGTATAGGCAAAAACTGTGGTATATATATAATACACTGGAGAGTGGCTCGTGTGTATGTACAACGTCGTCAGCTTCCATCGTGTCATCGTCAATTTTGTGTCATAACGACGCACAAAGCACATCGCTTTTGGCAATTTTAGTGTATTTCGTTATATATACGGTTATCGGAAACAGCGATTTTCTCGAAGCCTTTCCTCGAGAGTGCGTTTTCTTCGCAGACACCAAGAAAACATATCATTGTCGTGTGTGAGAGTGCGCGATATACTTTTACAGCGAGACGGAAAACCTTCAAGTTTAGATAGTTCGAGCTTCGCACAACAGTGTCCCGAAATCGAATTTCTGTTCTTTCCTCGACAACCCGTCGTTGTCATTATACTTGCTCCGCTCCACCTTGCGTCCGCCTCTTTGTCGTCCCCACTTTTCATCGTTCGCGGACACACAACAGAGTGCGGAGGAAAATCCTCTTTCTTTCTCTCTCTCTCTCTCCCTCTCTCTCTTTCTCTCTCTCTCTCCTCTCTCTCTCTCTCTCTCTCGCGCGCGCGCTCCGGTCGTCTAGAGCGCGTTTATTAATACTCCTGCTGTTGTCGGCGGTGTTCGTGTTTCGGATTGCGGAGCACGTTGCCATGCTTGGCGAGCGACGACGCAACGATTAGCACGACGACGACGACAAGAACGGAACGCGACGGTTTAGCAAACTGTGAAAAAATCATCATCGACGAGTCCGGGCGGCTATACAATGCAACGGTTCGCTCGGTGTGTGGATACGTGGATAGATCGCTGTACGTGGTTGAGACGTCGCGACGACGACGACAACGACGATGACGACGACGACGACGACGACAATGATCACCACGGCCGCGACGGCAATGCGTCGCAGCAGCAACAACACGCCGACAAAGAGACCAACAAGATTCTCTGCCACAGCGAGACCTGCCGGTATTGCTACGCCGCGGAGAAGGCCCTGCTGTGGGAAGACACTGGCTTCTTTTTCAACTTCTGCCTGCTCCTCATGTATATTCTACTCGTCGTGGTGCTCGGCATGTAAGGAGCTATATTAAAAGTTCGACGCGTTATTATTATTGTACTATATACGCTCTCTTTTCTCCCGATTCTTTCTGGAATTTAAATTTCGAGAGATAGCGCTGATAGAAAATCAAAATTTGAAATCATACGATATATCGAACTCTTTTCACGCTGTTTGGTCGCAATTTGGGAGACGCGCGATTTATCTCTTTCCTGCGCGTGAAAAAAACAAATCGCGTAATCCTTATCGCGCGCGTGTGTGTGCGTGCGTGTGCGCGCGCGCGCGTGCGTGCTGTGGATTGTGCGGTTATTGCGCCACCATGTCTTTACCGCGTTTGCTGCGTCTTTCTACTTATTTTTTTTTCTCGCTCGCTCTTACGTATCTCTCGCAATGACGCGTCATCTCTCTCGACTCCTCCGGCCGTACACAACATTTATGACGTCATACATCGCGCCGCGCGCGTTACAGCTGTTTTACGCTTCGCGCATCGCGGCTTTGCCTTCTAGGTCAAGGCTCCGAACAGGCGTACACGCCGATGATACGTACATGTATACATATGTAGACCCATATGTACACATATCGCGAGCATGTAAATATATGTACGCGTGTTTACGATTTATATGTTTTCTCTCTTCACGCTTATGACGTCTTGAATGCATAACGCGTTTACTGAATCGTTGCGCACCAAGAAAAATATCTAACATTGATAATACGCTTCGCATTGATACTACTACGTGTTTACTACTTGGAACGCACGCGCCGCACGTGCACACGCGCTTTGCACTTCCGGTAAACACACACGCACTGCGCGTTGCTTTATCTCAGAAGCGCGCGCCCGTGTGTTTTCTTTTTGTTCGAATGTGTCCTTGAACCACATCGATTTTGTTGCTCGAAGATTTGTTTGTAAAATTTGATTAGTAATAATTCCGCAATGTACAAATTTTACGCAATTCTTCCACTAATGTGCGTATATAACTTGTTTGTCTAATGACGTTACGTACCAGATATAAATAAAAGTCAGAATTTGATTTGCAAAGCAAATTTTAAGTTAATCGCGATATATATATATAAAACTCTTAGAAATTTTATTTAACTTGTTTAAAAAAAATATTTTGTAATTATATAAATAATGTTATTTTTGTTACAAAAGTTATAGTATATACATATATGTAGTTTATTTTTTATATACTTGTTGCAGGCCTTGCATTACAGAACTACCGTTGCTCAATGGAAATCTTACTGTTCACATTTTTCTCCACGTGATGATCGTTTTCATGTTTGTGGACTTTCTCGCTCCTACAGAGTAAGTTTTCGAAAAAAATCGTCAGAGTTCTTTTTTTCTTATACTTAATCACATAATGTGCAAAAACATTTTGCGAATATTGAAGTTTACAGTGTGCGTCGTTATTTGATTTTCAATTAATTTTGTCAGTATAAAATTTACAAAAAAAAAAATGCATTTTGCAGAGATCATCGTTTTATGTGCAGCAGACTTCACATGTTATATAATTACTTGCAAGAAATGCGAAGCAAAGAACCAGGACTGGTAAATTTCATTTTTCTCGATTATCGTTTTGTCGACATTTACTGAGAAACTAACGTTGATCGTTATTGCGTAACAAAAGGCAATTTTGCAAATAGGTTTGAAAATAATGTTTGCTATTTTATTTGCAGCATTGTTCCCTTCTCTGTATCGTGGCTGTTGTCTTATGGTTCATCGGCCGTGCCGATCTAGTGACTCCTCACTCACTATACTGGAGCATCTCTTTGGGATCCTTAATAACACTACAAATACCGTTGTTAGCGGTCAATATATTTGAGAAAGCAATGGATTTAGAACTTTTCAACTGGCGTAAAATTAAAGGTAAGCTTCGAAGTTTGTGTGGAAAGATATATATATATACTTCTTTAAAGAGAATAAATAAATAAATAAATAAATAAATCGGCTCGATCTCAATAAATGTAAACAATGTCATATTAAGCTGGTACGATACGCCTTCACGTGTATCTTATCAAAATGATACGCGTATCAAACACATTTATAATGATGTAAACAAACCAAAATTATACATTGCAAAAAAAATTTTATTTTATTAGCGTAACCAAAAAGATATACTAGGTGTAAACTAGATTTTTGAGATCATTGAGTTTACTATTAAGAAAAAATTTTTGTGTAATTAGTATTTTTTACTCTATTGTTTTACAAAATTTTCTTACAACTTACGTGTCAGATGCTATAAATTGTAACATTCATGACGATCACTAAGTTTACATTGTTTGTGGCAGAATGGTATTACGACAGTGACAACGAAGATGAATTTTTACCAGTGGTATCGGAAGCGAATCTACAAGTGTTGCATCGCTTTGGAGAGACGGGCGATAATTCGCCAACACCAACAAGCGTGATATCAGAGACTCAAAACGGTACAACATTGATTACTCTCAGAAAACACCAGTTGCTCTCACGGAAATTATCACTTGTGATCATTTGAAATTGTGATGGATTTTCAAAGAATAGTTACAAATGATGATCTCTCAACTGCAACTGAGTTTTCTAAAGTTTGCTTTCAATCTTCTAGCGAAGATTAATTCAGTCATGTGAGTGTTAAATTAATACACATAATTTAACTCTCCTAGCCAGGGTGACTTTTTCGCAATGGACTTTTTAATTTCCATGGGAAAAGGTAAATTGGATATTTCATCTATATGTGACACAAACTAAGAGCATCTTAGATGAATTTTCAAATTGAATTTAACTCAAATTATTATGTGTATTAATTTAGACGTTTAAGATAAAAAGTAACTGCGAAATATGACAAGTAATAAGAGCCGCTGGATGTTTTGCGATATAAATATATCTGAATATATATTTATAATTTTTAGGGGTGTAAATTTTCTACATATGTTTGTGATTTATTTGAATTGAAATTTTTTCAATTCGTGATTACATATAGAATGCTTGATTTGTATCACATATATGAGTATACCTATATTTTCCATTCCTACCTAATTTAAAAATTATTTTTTCGAATTATTTTTTTGTAATTAATATATTCGGATATATTTATATAAAAAAAGTGCACTTGGTTTTAAAAACATATGAACCTCTTAATTAATTCGAAAATAAGAAGTATATTTTGCACGAACACAATTTCTAGCACATTAACTCACATGTCTAAATGAATCTTAGCTAGTTTGATACTGTATGAAATTTGTTGTTAAAATTTTTGCTTTTAATATTTTTTATGTAACATCATGCATGTTTATCTTTCTAAACATTTATATAAGTAATTTATTTTATAATTGTACATATAATTAGTTTGATATTAGATTTTACTTAATAAAAATAATTACCGAAAATAGTTTCAGAAAATAATTTAATAATCTCTTTCTTACATATCATGATTATTTGTAGATCCTTTTGAGGAATATCTGGAGAATCTCTTTGACACAGTTCATACCATGCCATCGCACGAAGATGGCAGCACCGACGGCGTGGAGCTGTCGGAACTGGAACTCAGCGTTGGTGAGAACGATGTCGAGGAGGATATCAAGTTTCAGATTCGACATTTCGAGAAGAGTTCGTCTTCTGCTTCCGACGACGATGTTTTTGACGACAAGAAGATCACCGCTGAAAGTACCGACGACAGCAATAGCGACAGTGACTTCGAGATAATAGACAAGGCGGAGATAGATAAAATGTGATAAAAAAACAAATTAATACAAATGTAAGGATTTGTTGTACGTGCGATATTAAATTAAGATAACAAGCCGAGGAGAACCAGTCGACGGGCAATAACGATTTTGATAATTTGGAAATATTTTTAATGAGTGTCATTGCTGAAACGTCATGTGAATTTTCATTTAAATTGCAATTAATTTTTTCAACGTGCGTCGTACACCGCAATATTTGCAGGTGTATTCGATCTCTGGGGCAATTTCAAGCGAATTTGTTTATATAGACATTATATATATATTACATGTAATATGTATAATATATATGTGTATATATATGTATACATATGTATATTTAATATACATATATATATATAATATACATATATACATATACGATAATATATATGGAGATATATGTGTGTGTATATATAGTGTGTACTATTTTGGACGATTTAAGTTAATTCTTGTTGAAAACTAGTTTCTGATAGATTGCGACGCAACACCGAACCGAATTGATATATGAATAAAAATGAACTGTTGATACTTAGTACACAAAGAAGTTCAACCCGCTCTTAATGTAGTAGCAGTAATAATAATAATAATAATATTAATAATATTTGTCATGAGTGTGCGTGCGCGCGCGCGTGTGTGTTTGTGCGCGTATGTTACTAGGTGGTTCTAATTTTGTGACCAAATAGGCTGTATGTACAGCAAGAAAAATTGTTAATAACACGACCGATACAGATTTTTGCCATGTTTTTAGTGCCGACAGGTGATCGCGTAATCACAGCCTACAATTTCAGCCAATTTTGAACTATTATATTTCACAACCTAATGCTTGAGAAAAATGATGAAGTTTTTACAGTTCACGCGCAGTTTGCCGAACTTTTCTGCCGCATAATCTTGGTTGCGAATTTTAAATAATCTGTATATAGTATCTTTCAAAATAAAAAGGGACATGTGTGCACGAGGAAACGACGGATTGGTTCAGCGAGAAAGAACTTTCTCTTACTGTGCATCATTTTTTTAAAGTTTTTTATATTTTATTTAAAAATGTCTTAATTTTTAATAGTTTTTAATTTTGATCGGAATCTATTCCAAAAAAAAAACTACATTTTAATGTCAATGTCCAACTGACAACGGTGGAAATAGAACTGCGCATAGAACGGAAACTCCTTCGCAGTAGCAACCGGCTTGTATTGCTGACCTCGTGTACGTACTTGCGATGTAATAAATATGCACCTATGTACAAACGTTCCAATCCAAGAATCGAGAGTCAATTCATATATTTGACCTAATTGGGCGATAACGATGACGATAGCATGCGATTGCGTGCTCACATCTCAAGATTGTGAGGGGTACAATATGTAAAAAAAAACCTTGATAAGGAATGCTGCACTTTATTTGATAGCGTAAACAATAAACTCGTTCTAGACCTGTAAGAATGTATCATATTGTAACATGTGTATTTGTGAAATGTATGAAAACAAAAAAAAACAAAAATACGCGAGGAGATAGTGACGTGTTTATCAAGTTCGACGCGTTTTTGTATCTCATTTATAATCGATATTTGTCGTCTTCTCCTTATCTATACATCTCTAAGAGCGTAAGACGAACATAAAAATAAATTAAAACTTAAACAAAGAAAGTCTTGTTGTTATTATGTATATACGTATGACCTTTTCTTGTTCTTGAACTTATTTTGTGGCAAAAAGAAAAACAATTAAAAAAGAAATTATCTGCTTAAAAAACAGGATGTTTGGGGAGTCAAAACACAAGATGTTCGTGTGAGTGATTCTTTATTTAATACCAAAAAATTTTACAAAATTACTTTACGATCCCTTCATTCAAATCTTCATGAATGTTTGAGTTGCTTTGTAATTTTTTGGTATCAAATAAAGAATCACTCACACATCTTATGTTTTGGCATCATGCCTAAGCAGTTTTATTATCTCACAAACTTTTTCAATTGTTATGATCTGCTTATTTCTTATTTATTTGTTTCAATTAAGTTTCAGTCGTGAAGCTTTGCAAGACCAAAACAAATCAAAATAAATGCTGTGATTATGTGTAAAGTACATATATACTTTAAAATAAAAACAAATATATATATATATATATACATATATATACACTTTATACTAAATATTTTTGTTCATTTGTTGTGTTTATGTTACACATTCGTGTTCCTCTGAAAATTTTTTTGCAGTTTTCTCAGAAATTTCTTTTACAGTTTCCTTTAAAATTTCTTTTACATTTTTTTCTGAAATTTCTTTTACTTTCTTATTATATACAGACTTATTGTCGTTTTCCTCCTTGTATTCATCGATTAGCATTGTATTATTTACATTAATAGGCTCTGCATCGTGCAATTTTTCTTCTACGGATTGTATAATTGGTTGAGCATTCTTTCTTTCCGGTAACACTTTTAAAAACGCGTCTTGCCAACTACATCCCTCTGTGATTTTTAATAATATTTCAAAAACTGAGAAAAGTCAACACATATTATTACTACTAATAAAATTTTAAGATATTTATCATTCAATTTTTGCAAGAGATTGAATAATAAATGACGCTTACCATGATCGATCGTTAATACTTTTCTGGCCTTCATTCGCAAGTATTTGTCTAATGGTAACCGTCCATGCCTAACACCCGCCTCCACCGCCAATTTGTAACATATACCCTGTGTTTTAAATGTTTAGTAAAAAAAAATATTTACACAAAAAGATGTCACAGACATAACAGTCAAATGTTTCACCTTATGGGCATTATGATCAACAAGACCACCTATGACGTATACGTAATCTTGAGATAAGTCATCAATCACATTTTCCGATTCGCTTGTAAGATATATAATTTTCTCTTTGGGGTAAACATTCATGTACGGCATTGTGTAAAAGCTAACCTATAGTTAAAAATAGTTGTTTTTAAAGAAAAAAGTAGTTTTAATTTTTCTATTCCTCATTTTCTTCAAGAAAAGTAACTTACATCCCAATGTTCATATCCATTGTTCTTTTCCATAACTGTTCGTGATTTGCCAGTGAAACTGGTAAGGGAAAATTGCATGGGTGCTGATGCCCTTCTATTCAATGTATAACACCTCAATATTTGTTTTACTACTTTAGAGATATCTCTGTCCAGCATTAATTCATCAAACGAGAGATCGATGGTTACAGTGAGTTTACACGTACTAGCTGCCATGGTGGATTGTTTCAAAAACTTCCTGGACGGACCTAAGTGAAAATTATTTGCGCGTGCAAACGCACGTTTTGCCCTCGCTTTAGCTCTCTCTCGCAATCTGCACTAATACACAAACCTGATGTAGATATATTAAACAATAAAAAAATAAATATCAAGCAAGGCCACTTTCTACTGTTAATAATTTGTAATTATTTGGATTTTTTTACTATAAATTTGTAATAGATTAATTTGTCATACACTACAATGCAATGTACTGGAATCTTTCAACAAGGATTGTATAATAAATTTTTTATATTATGACAACACTTTTACTATATATTTTTTGAATTTTAAGCATTTAAAATTAAAATGTTTCCTCAACACAATTAACAAAATTTATATTTTTTAGTAAAATTGTTATCACGCAATATTTTATAGAATTCTATAAACGTGAAAATCGCGTGACAATAACAAACATTCCTAACCTCTTCTCGGCTTTCCGCTCTAACCATTTTTCCCTTTTCTTCACCTTCTTCAGTTGACGTTTACTCATTATTCGTTTCTCGGACGCATTGTTTACAACAGTAATATTTTCTTCGTCCGTTACACTTATATTATCCATATTTTGACACAGGCGTATAAGAAATAGTGAGAAATCATCCGTGGCTAGTCGCGTATCTTCGCAATGAGAGGCACGAGGCCCGAGAAAGGGAGACGCACGAAGTCCAAATATGGGCATAGATAGTCGAGCGTCATTATGCGCAGGCGCGTCTACTAAGCGAGTGCGAGCG